AGTGGCTGTGGCCTTGGCAGCAACTTAACCTGAACATTTAGGTCAGTGTTCCTGCCACCGGGGCCTTTTGCCTGCCCAGGGTCCCGCTTCAGCCCCAGCTGTTCCTGTGCCCACCCCATGACCTCTCGGTGCTTCAGGGTGGAGCATAGCAGGGGCGCAGATTTGGAGGGCAGACCTGGGCTCACATAGAACTGAGTATCCTCCCGGAAACTGCCAGAAGAGGAGCCAAATGCTCCTTCTTCAGCCCTTGTGACCATGAAGAGGAATGGTGCTGGGCAGCAATTGACCCACAGCCGGCTCTTAGAGTGGGCAGCTCTGGCTTTCTCTGCCGCTCTTGCTGCCTGTAGGTTGGTATTGTTATTATTACTGTTGAGAAGATGCCCTTATGGGTGTTTTGAGTATGCAGCCCAGCTCCCCACTGTCCTACTCTGTTAAATGTCCCCAGATGCCATGCCCTGGCCCCTGCCTCTCTTCACCCGACCCCATATCTACTTACGGTTCTATTTTGGGAAGAAGTGGGCCCAGAATAGTTTCCCCTGGGCCTTGGATCTGAGCAATTCCAGCCCCTTCTGGCTGTCCCTACTAGCTCCCAGGCCCTTCCCCTCCCAAGATAGGTAGTACTGGGTGACCCCACAGATCATCAGCGTGGTGGCAAATGTGATGTCATGGGGTCTTTTTGGCTCCGAAATTGCCCGGATTTCAGCCTTCCCTTGGGACAAGTGCACAGAGAGCTGGCAGGCTAGTGCTGAGGGTTTGAAGACTTCTGGACAGAATGTTCCACTGGAGGCTGAGGCTGCATTCTGCACCCTCCCTCTTTGCCTCCGAGCCCTGGACTCAGGCTGGGGCATCCCCAAGCCCCAGCATTTCCTTCCTCTAAACAGCTGCCCACAGATACATTTTTTTACTCCAACAGAGCCTCCCTGCAGGCCACTAAAGAGCCCCAGGCAGGTGTCCCAACCTCCCAGTTTTCCAGGACAGGCTCACCGTCTGTCACTCAGCATGGGCACAGTGAGGGAGAGGGCGTATGTATCTGGGAATACTGAAGAAAGGACCTGCAGCTTCCTTACCCACCCCATGGTTCACAGCAGATTCAGGAAGTTCTCTGCTATCTCTCTCTGCAGTTGCTCCCATTTTCCAGTCTTCCTAGGGAAGTTCAGGGAAGTAATCTATTCCGACTGGTGACCCTTGGTGAGGCTCTGCTGTTGCTAGGCTTTAGGGCCCCACAAATGGGGTCTCTGCTGAGTGGGGCTAGGAAGATGGCTCAGTAGACGAAGTGCTTGCTGTGCAAGCATGCAGACCAGAGTTCCATCCCAGCACCGTGTCAAAGTGGGCAGAGCGATGCTCACCTGTAATTCCTGCACTGGATGGTGACAGGAAGAGCCCCAGGGCTTGCTAGCCATCAGAGTAGCCAAATCAGTGAGGTGGAGAGAGATAGAGGGAGACATGCGATGTTGGTCTCTGGTCTCCACACATGTGCACTTAGGTGCACACACACCTATACACACACAAAATGAGTGAGAGACCAAGGGAGCCTGTGAGGACACTAGGTAGAGCTCTCTCCCTCTGGGCATTGCAGTCTTTCACTGTTCACTTGCTTCATCTGTGAGATGATAACACGCACTTCCCAGGATGCTTGGAGGTCTGGAATGGAAGCAGCAGAACCTGGTCCCCAGTCTGTTGCACATCAAGCAGCTGTTCTTGCTTTAGCCTTGGGAAAAGGTGTCTCTAGATCATTGCTGGCAGTAGTGGGAGACAGAGGAGGCAGGGTAGGGTGCAAAATGTGATGAGGCCTGGCTCTCAGAGGCAGAGGCACTGTGCAGAATGCGGTGTGTTTGTGGGGGCGGGTGCTGTGCCGCCTCCAGTTTCTAGACCTGCTCTGGCAGGCGTTAGGGACTCCTGTGTGAGGCCAGCGTTGTCCTTGTTTAGAGTCCATGTGACTCAACCTTATGTTGCTGACCTTGAGATGTCAACTGACCCCAGGAGAGGTGCGGCGAAGTGAACTCGGCACTGGGTTTTGCAGGCCTGGGACAGCTTGGTCCTGCCTTGCATCTTGTTCAAGATACTGGCATGTCTTCCGTCTGCATCTCAGTTCCGATCTGTGGATCACAGAGCAGGAGGAGGCTCTCTAGTACGCGCCTTGAGAGTGGCGTGTGAGGATGTAGTGTGCATGTGTGTGCAACACGTGCATGCATTCGTGTTGTATACGTGTGTGCGTGTGGTTTAGAAAGGTCCTGCCCTAAAACTAAACAAAGATGAAAAGCTTTCCTGTGTCCAGGGGACCCGAGATGCTGCTGTGTTGTCAGTCAGCTCTGTGTATGATTAGGGTATCAGAGAAGGGAGCAAAGAGACCGTTCATTCCACAGAAAATTCCCGAGGGCCCACAGTGTGCCAGGCACTGTTCTCTGCTCAGTGTGGGCATAGTTCATATTCCAGTGAGAGGCAGGCTCTAAGGGATGTTAGTAAATATAAAATAGGGTGTTGGAGAGCAGTGTGTTCTAAGAAGAAAAATCAGGGATTAGCGAGATGGCGCAACAGTTAAGAGCGCTGCTCTTAGAGAGGACTTGGGCTCGGTTCCTAGCTCCTGGGTTCAGTTCCTAGCTCCTGTGTTCAGTGATTGGTAACCCCAGTTCTAGATGAGCTGATACCCTCTTCTGGCCTTGCACACAAGTGGTGCATATATGTATACTCTGGTGCATAGACATACATATAAAATAAATAAACACCATTTTTTCTTTTTTTTCATTTTTCATTGATTTAATAATAGGCATATAATAAGTTTGTGTTAATTAAATTATTTTTAAACTAAACAAAATGGAACATCAACCATTTTAATTAGAAAAGTTTGTAGAGTCAGGCACCACTGTGGTCTCAGATGTCACCCACACCCTGGAAATAGCAGAATGCAGACTCTGCTGAGTGAGTTCTGTCCAGCCTGAACTCATGAGGTTTCTTAAGATTACAATCACCCAGGGAGGGTTAGTGTGTGTGTGTGTGTGTGTGTGTGTGTGTGTCTACATGCACGCGTGTGCGTGTATCTGTCTGGCTATTTGCATGGGGACTTGCACTTGAGGTATATCAGGGACCCACAGTTCTGAGGCTGCTGCTTCTGAGTGCCCAGCTGCCCTGGAGAGTCCCTAGAGCTTCCCCATTGTGCCATGAGGGCTTGGACAGCCTTAGCTGCCTCTGCCCAGCTGGGCCCAATCCCTGCACTACCTAGACCAGGTAGTCTAGGGTGGGTAGCAAGGTAGTCTAGACTGGAGAACTAGGGTGGGATGCATGCATGCTGGGGCTGAGGTTATGAACTCTGCTGGGCAGTCTGGGTGTTTGGAAATTTTTAGCTCCTCGGGAGACATGTGGGACAGTGTGTTGAAGGCATCTTACTGCTGTCGATTCTTGCCTGTGGCTGGCCTCCAGCTGGCAAGGGGAAGGAGTGGGGGCCTAGGGGACAGCGGTCAGATGATCTCTGGCAGGAAGGGTGTGTTTCTCCCGCTCTGCTGAGGCCCGTAGTTTTGTACTAAACTTTATGGATTGGAGAAGGCTGAGCGCTGGTCTGAGTAGGGCAGGGTGGGCTGGGCCTCCATGCCATGGGGGAGCTCCAGGGAGAGAGGGTAGCATTAAGGGCTGGCCAGGGCTGGGAGCCAGATCCTTTTCATAGGGGTCTTTATTCCATTCATTCAATATATAATTACTCCAGGTAGCCATGCAGGTGGGCGGCAAGAATGGGCTTATGGTCACCCTGCTAACAGCAGAGTCAGGGTGTTGGCTGGGCACTCTGGTCTTAGAGCCATTCAGGACCCTATTGGAGAAACACATTTCTGGTCCCTACAGGGTGTGATGACTTAGAAGTTCTAGGTGGGTGGGACATCCAGTGCCAATAGCCTTTCAGGTGGTCCCAGTCCCCTCTTGGAGTGGCAGGTAGAACTCTAGGGTTAATGGAGAGGTGAGCTTGGCCAAGGAGTCCCCATCCCCCTGCCACCACCCATTCACTCTTCTGGACATTTTTAGGATGAGGCTTCTTTGTTGACAGGGATAGAGGGAGGATGGCCTGGATGGTTCATCCGTCCATGTTTATGTTGATGTCCCACTTCTGGTCCCCCTGGTTCCTGGTATGAGGGAGTTTCTACCGAGTTGATCAAAATGTCACTATGATTACTTTGGATGAAGGTAGACCCAGAATCCCAAATCAGGGCAGTTAAGAGCATCTGTTGGTCATGCAGGAGACTGGTGTTCAGTTCCCAGCATTGCTGTGGAGTGGTTGGCAACCACCTGTAAATTCAGTTCTAGAGATCTGATCCACACGTGGTAGACACACATGCATACAATTAAAGTAATGCAAACAAATCTTAAATTCCCAAATGAACTGCGGTTGGAGGAGTGCAGTGTATAAGGCCAGATTAGACCATTCCTTTAGAAGGGGAGGCCATTGGGGTACCACATGGGGTATAATCGGAGCTCCCTAGAGGAGGGAGGCCAGCAAGGCAGAGGAGAAGGCAGTGTGTAGTGTGTGTGTGTGTGTGTGTGTGTGTGTGCCGTAGGAACCTAGGGTGGGGCCAGCAAGTCACTGCGGAGCTGAGGCATGGGCAATATTCAGCAGGCAGGCTCTGACCCCAGGAGTTTATGCTCTAACTTCTGTCTGTTTGCTGGGGCTAACAGGCCATGGTGGTCCCTGCCTCTGTGGGTTCTTGTCCCAGACAGAACAGTGGAAGTGAAGCCCTGGCTAACTGGAACAAGAGTGCCTTGGCCTGTTGCCCTCATTTATTGAGTGGTGTGAGGTTTGCACGGTCACCCAGTGTGGGCCATTGGTGAGGGTGGACCTGCTTGGCTTTATGGCTAAGAAGATGGTGTGTCATTTTGCAAATGCCGCTTCCCTAGTTTGGGACTAGCCCAGTGATGTACTGAAGCTTGGGACCGTGCCTCATTACCACCCTGCCTGCCTGCCTAGAAGGCAGCTGTGCCAATATCTCTGTGACGCTCACACTATTTCTTGTTTTTGTCTCTAGCCCATCACCACGGAGAGCGTACCCAAGAATGTAATGGATGTGGTGAGTGACAATGGGCAGAATGAGGAGGTGCTGGGAGGGAGTGGGCTTTAGGGTGCGGGAGGGGCTGGAGCCCTGAGGAAGGGGTGCTGAGGATCTTGGAAGCTGTGCCCAAGGTTGACAGAGGTTGACAGAGAGGGAGCAGGGTGGGGCTGTGGAGGAAATCAATGATTAAGGCTGTCTGTAGGAAATATGCTAAATGTCTCAGGCCTGTAAACCAGCATCCAGAAGGCTGAGGCAGGAGGGTTCCTTCAGTTTTAGGTCAGCCTGGGCTACATAATGAGACCCCTAACAAACAAACAAACAAACAAGCAGGGGAGGCCCCAGGGTAACCCTCAATCAGGGAACCGTCTGTGCAAGCTTGAATACCTAAGCTCGTCCCCAGAAACAACCTGGGAAAAAATCCCAGCGTGGTGGCACATGCTTGTAACCCCAGGGCTGGGGAGGTAGAGATGGGGACCCTTGGGTCTTGCTGGCTAGACAAGTCCCAGGTTAGTAAGGGGCCCTGTCTCAAATGCTAAACTTTCTTGAGAGGGTAGGAAGGGGGCAGAACCTGTCTGCTTTAGTAATACAGGTTTGCAAAGGTGATCCACATGCATGTACATACATACACACACACACATGCTTGCATGCACGCATGCATGCACACACTCATACCTGCACATGCACACTCACACATACATGCACATGCATATACACAACACACAATTCACATACTTGCACACACATATGTGCATACAAGGCACACACACACACACACTCAGACACACAAAGAGGGCATGGGAGAGACAGAATATGAGAAAACTGGGCAGACTTCCCACTAATCTTTTGGACTACATGAGCAGAGTTTCCTTCAGGCTGTATGGAAGAGGATGAGAAGAATGTGGGGGGACTCTGAGGCTAGACAAGTTCCTGGATGGGAAAGGCCAGTTTGAAACCAAGGGGATGGAGGCTAAGGCCCTGCCTGAAGGATTTCAGGTGAAGGAGAGCCTGTCTGGTCCTCAGCTTTCTCGTCTTCAAAATGGAATAACAGTGTCTCATGGGGGTGTGCCCATAGGAGAGGGTTTACCTTTCTCCGACAGACCTTTGAGTGGACAAACCAGTGTTCAAGTAACACAAGCCCCCTCCCCGTGCCCAGGACCTTGTGCTACCTACCCTTTTACCCTCCGCCCTGACCCCAGCAGGTAGGCATTCTGGAACCTTGCACTGTTAATCTTGCCCCCTCTCTGAAGCCTCTCCTCTGCCTGCAGGGGGAAGGAGACTGCAAGGGTGGAAGCTCTCCCAGAAGCCTCCAGGAGGGCGTGAGTATGAGGAGGGCAGGGCTAAGTGGACTGCTTGCAGGGGGCATGAACAGGAGTGTGTGTGGGGGTGCCCTTAGACCTTCACTCTCTTGAAGGGAGCCTGGCTGGCTTGGCTGTTGTGTTGGGGAAAGAGAAGGCCTGTGAAGTCACTCACTAGGCTCAAGTCACTCAGTGGCCCTGGGCTTCATCACTACGCCATGGTAGTTTTGGGTGGGGAGGAACAGAGGGATAGATCTGAGAGCTAGGCTTGGAAAGGGTGAAGGAAACAGGGCTCTGTAAAGGAGCCCTGGGCTCTCAAGGTTCCCCTAGATGCTGGATACACTGTTGGGGTGCTTGCCTGGAGCCAGGAGTCTTGAGAAATGGCGAGAGCGGTGTAACTTTCCTGCTTTTCATTTAGGACCCAGGAAGAGGGTTCTCTGGTCCTGGTTCATTTTGTCTTCGGTTTAACAAGGGCCGTCAGGGGACAAGTTCCTTAATCAGGAGGAACTCAGGCTAGGTCCCAGGAGCCCCTGATCTCTGTTGGGGCTGGCTTGTCTCTATACCCCCGGCAGGCCTCACAGAAGACACTTCACCTTCCCCAGGCCTTTCCTGCCCTGTGCCCCATGCTGGCCCCTCCGTCCACTGCAAGCCTGGAGAGGAACAGGGAGTGGTTTTGGCGGTTGGCACAGGGGGAGCTGTTGATGGCACGAGGCCCTATCATCTGACAGCTGCCTGGCCTCTGGTAGGGAGGGCCCCGCAGGGAGGGGCTGAGCTGTAGCAGCTCCCGAGGGTGGCCCACCGACACTGCTGCACCATCTTGGGCCGCCATAGGCCCAGTAATAAGGACTGGCGCTGTCTAGGGGCTGTGTGGACTCCTGGGTTGGGGGAAGACCTTATGGAGGTATGTGAGGATTCCTGTTCATTGTTACTAAGGATGCTTCCGAGAATTTAGTTTTGTGTGTGTTACTGCAAAGGATGAACTAGCTTGAGGCACTCCTAGATATGATGGGTGCTCAGTAAATATCAGCCAGTCTCACCGCCGTTGTTTTAGGAGCCAGGAATTAGGCTGTATGCCTTCGTGACAAGGTGTGTGGCAGGTGCTGTGGCTCCACGTTTTAGATGAGGAAGCAGAGACTGGAGGTATCCCTTGAATGTCTCTGGATACACGTCATCCAAGACTGTTAGCCCTTGGGACAAAGTGGTAGCCTCTGAATCATTACTTTTAGTTGATGTTCTGGGAGTGTTTAGAAGTTATGTCCTAGGACTTCTGACTCTGCCTCCCTAGCCTGGGCCTTGTGGAGTTCATCAACCAGAATCAATCAAGGTCAGACATCTAGAAGAGCTGTTGACCCTAGGGTGTGTTTGACCTTGGTTGTGTAGAAGAAAGAGGTGGCCACTTAGTTGTGGTCGATGGGTATCTTGTTTTAGTTTCCAGGGAAAACATTTGCTGGTATGGGATCAGCGAATCTGCAAGAAGTTGTGTGTCAGGGTGGGTCAGGGGTGGTGCCTGGTTGGGGAGGTAGGAGGTCAGAGAAAATGAGTCTCACCGAAGGAGTGTAAGAGGAGCAAGCAGGAGAGCAGACTCCAGAGGGGCTTGCCTGCTGCAGAGGAGCAGAAACCCACCGCCAGGCTTCTGGACATCTGTCATAGGTGGGGTGACCCAGGGCTGCCGTGCTGGTACCCTGGCTGAATAGGGGCTTCGCTGTGCGCTGGGCAGGGGAAGAGGAGGCTGGCTCAGGGCACTAGCCTGTCTGTGGGGCGCTTCCTGCTTTGGCCTCTCCAGGCGGTTTACTCCGATGGAGCTGGTGTGCAGGGAGGCTGGAGACGTGTGCAGTGTCGCACTTTGTTTTGGAAAAATCCAAGTGGTGAGCAGGAAGGGGGGGGGAGGAAGGGGTGTGGCTGCGGGGGCCTGTGTGGGGGGCCTCAACCAGAGGAGATGCAGGAATGAAGGGCTGGGCTCTGGCTGCCTCACTCGACCCCTGGTGTTCATTGGCAGACCCTCCTCTCACCAAGGACCCTGGGGACCTAGGTTCAGGAAACAGGTTTTTTTTTTTTTTTTTTTTTTTCCTTTTCTGTTGGGAGGTATTTTGTTTGCTTCATGGACCTGAAGGGAAAACAGGACTTCTCCCAACTTTGAGGGGCAAACCAGCCCCACTGGAGATCCAAGGTTTACGCTGCTCTTGCTGTGTGAATATGCTATGGGGAACAGAAGGTGGTGGCAAGGATGCAGCCCCAGGAGGCAGACCTGAAGCTACTCCAGAACGCCCCAGTTATGGTCAGCTCTTGCCTGCAGGGAGAACCAAGGAAAAAAGAGTTGGTGCCCGAAGCAGGAAGGATGAGGGTTAGATATGAGGAGGAACATCCTGCCAGTGAGAAAAGACACTCTTTGGAGGGAGGCTGTGGGATCCCCTCTCATGAGGCCTTTCTGCCAAGGAGACACATGTTTGAGAGATGAGGATGAGGGAGACTGTTTGGTGCTTAGGGAGCTGGATCAAAAGTTCTATTATTGGTCTGTCTTAGGAGGAGCTAGTAGGAAGTTAAGAGTTTCAAGATTCCCTAGAGGGGAAAAGAATGGGATTCCAGGCAGGCAGAGAATTTATTTTCCTTTTTAAAATAAACCTTCCCCAGGGACTCCAAGTGGGGCAGGTAAAAGATCGCAGAACCCTGTGTTTACCCATTTAACTGATGAGCATCTGAGACCAAGCCTCCATGCCTCTTACCAGGTGGATTGACAGTTATCTTTATTGTTCAGAATGAGGGTGAGACTTGGACTTCTCCACATCTCTCCCAGGTGCCTAGAACACAGCTCCAGGAAATGTTTAACCAGCGAGGGAATGTCTGCCCTGAGGGGGATACAGACCTGACTCCAGGCCTCAGTTTACCCCGCTGTTTCATGGGGGGTCACCTGGGCAGGCTGGAGCACTGGGAGGAGCGTGTTTGTTCTTGGGTGCCCCTTTACTGTTCTCCTGTGCTCACAATGCATTCACAGTCCCCGTGCAAGCCTGCTCTCGGCCAGCAAGGGTCATGTGTCCCCAAACCTTGCAGAAAACAGGAAGCCCTATTGGTGCGAGTGCAGCCCAGCCCTGTGATTCATCAGGGGGTGACAGTCCAGCTGTTGGTCCCTAGCCCCTGCCCAGGATAGCTTCCCCTGTGCATCCCTGCCCCAGCTCTCCTGTGCAGAGTGCCTGGACCTTTCTTATCGCCTCAGGAGGCGGCAGGGCCAGACTCTGTTTGGGCCAAGTATTTATCTTCTAGGCTGGAGTCAGGAATGTGGAGTGTTATAACCTTGGCCAGAGGGTAGTGGGGAAGTGGACTGGAAGCCTGGTCTCTGGGTCCTGTGCATCCTTCACGGTGCCTTTGGAGGCTCCCAGCTCTGCTTAGCTCTCCAGTTCCTTCATCAGTCCTGGCTATTGGCCCATTGTCTTCCTCCAGCTCCTTGCTTGTGCCTGGCCCTGATCTTGGCCGCACCATAAGCCTTGGCTAAGTTGTGGCTTCCAGTTGTTCGAAGCAGCTGTGGTGGCTTCCTTCAAAGAGTGGCTGTAGATCTGTAGCAGATGAAACCCTAGGGGCTATTTATAGCAGGGTGGCCCTAGAGCCTGGCCCATGGCCCAGGGTCTGAGGAGAGTCAGGGCCTCCTCGTCAGAGACCAGTGCAATGGGATGGATGAAGTGTTGGCTTTTCGCATGCTTCAGGGTGGGGAGTTTTGGAACAGCCTGGTTTAGGGTTTGAAAACCAAACACCCTGGTCCCCGCCTCTCCTGCCCTAGCCTGACTCACACAACCCCAAGTCCTAGGGCAGGAAATGCTGAGAGTCTGAGAACCGTTCCTTCTGACTCCTCCTCGCACTGAGTTCTGCTGAACCCTTAGGAGCCCCACAGTGACAGGGTGGCCAGCCCTCCCTCCCGCAGCCAGGGGCCCTGACTCTGTACTCCATGGGGAGCTGGACCTCAGAGTCCAGCTGCATGTTGGGTGCAACACTCTTCACTTGGGCTCTGTGGCCACGTCTGGGTCAGAGTTCGAATCCTGCTCCGTCATCAGTTTCCCAGGGATTCAGGGGTGAGTCACCATGTGTCTTATGTCCCTTTTCTTTACAGGCGGTGGTCTTGCTGCCTCCGAGGGGAGGCTGCCATTTCGTGGCTGGGAAACGTAGCTCGGTGGAGCCCAGGAATTCAGAACTGGAGTGCTCCAGTTGAAATAGATGGTGGATGCCGAGGGGGAGGGAAGCAGGTCTTGTGGTTTTTTTTCATGAGGATGGACGGTTGTCCCTTTCCTTCCAGGAACTTCTCTCTCAGTTCTTCTTAGTGAGAGAGTGACATTTAAAGTGACAGCTGCCATTGACCAAGCGTCAAACACCAGTGATGAGGCTCTCAGCATGTTCTTGTGTGTTTGTTGTTTGGTTTTTGATTTTTGCTTGCCCATAACGAACCATTGAGGGCTGGCCTGTCCTCCTGTGACATCCTGACGCCATTTGCCCAGGTTCAGTGGGCTGAGCATCTCCCATGCTGCTCAGCGGGATGCTGGAGCCTAGTGCTGCAGTCTGCGTGGCTTGACACCTTGTCGTGAATGTCACTCGGCTGCCCTGAAAAGTTGGCGTCACTAACTTGGGTCTGTTTGCCTAATTTTGTACATCAGTACCCTGGATTGGTGTGCGTGGGACAAGATAGAGACATGGAGCCTTAGACATGAAGGGCCTTGGATGCCCGTTGCAAATCACACACCTGCTGCTCTGTCTTAAGCTTTGCACAGATTCAGAGGCTCAGTGTTGTGGCTTTGGAGGAGGGGGAGTGAGGGGCGGCAGTGGCGGAGGACATGGGTTCGGAGCTAGCTGGTCCGGAGGTGGACACTCTTCGCTTCCCCAAGGTGGTTGCCGTGTGTGATCTCTAGTTGAGGTTGCTATTATGATGCCTGGTGATTTAGGGCAAGGTGGGTTTCTGCCAATTCAGCCGCAGTCGGTAGTGTGTCCCCCGAGTAGGGGAGCCAGCCAGATGGCTCTGTCTTTATATCAGAGATTTCCTCTTTTCACCTAACCGGTCTCCCACAGCAGGTACTTTTGGCCTTTGGGCTTTTATGGCTGGGGTGTTAGGGAGGCGGGAATGGAGCATTGGCCAAGGAGAGGGTAAGGATCTCTGTGTGGCCATGCCCTGAGCCCCTTTATGCTCCTCCCTTCCTGCTCTCCCCTCTTCTTGTAATACTGTGTCTTCTCTCTCTTCCAGGACTCCATGAGAGTTTCGCCAAGCATCCACCCGCAGCCACAGCCTGTCAGGTACACTTGGCACAGTGGGAGGATATGGGTTATGCGCATTCTCACGTCCCACCCTGAGTCCTAAGACTGATGCTGTACATCCCTAGCGAGAGGCCTGGAGTTGGTGGCCCTTGGCTGTCACCACTGAGTTCCAGCACAGACCTCGAGGTGGACCTATACTTCCCCACATAAGCTCATCCGTCCTTGTAATGGCGCTGAATGTCTGTGTATTGGCAACTCAGTTAGTTGATGAGTGTCTGAAGCGACTTGTCCAAGGCACCCACTGGCCAGAAGCAGCACTGGGGCGACTCCCCTCAAGCCCCATGCTGGTTCTGACTCTGTGGATGAGGTCTTTGTGGGGAGGACTTTGTAGAGTGATCATTCTCCACCCAGGGAAGAGAACACACAGGGAGACTCCATGCTTTGCCCACACCCCACATCTCTCTACTTCACCTTCATCCTGAGGCTCCCTGGTTCCTGCCTAGAGCCCTTTGAGGACCCCTTCCACCCTCCTGTCTCTTCCTCTGCTTGGTACACTTAGAGCTGTCATACCCATTTTGTCCAGAGCTGTGATACCAATTTTGTCCAGCTGGTGGTGCTATTCTGCTTTTGTGTCCTTCCTGGGACCCAGCCTGATAGAGGGGCCAGTAAATCAGTCCTGTCCACTACTACCCCAGGATGGCCACCTCTGATTCATTCCTGTTGCTCTCGGCTCCTCTTTTTCCTCTGCCTCTCAGAGGGAAAAGCTAGAAAGAAATGGGCTGCGTTTATGTGTTTTTCTGAGGAGGATGCAGTCCCTTTTATAGAGCCAGGACCAAAGGACTGGAGGGTCCTCAGGTTACTCTGTGTCAACATTTGGGGTAAGTGTGCAGGTGGCATCTGGCCCCTGGGTAGAAGTCAGAGCTCTGGCCAGCGATTGCTGAGATACGATAGGGACAAGGAGTGACGGGGATTCAGGTCCAGTTCTAACTGGCGTTTACCCCTGTCATTTCATCAGAGAGAGCTACCCTTGGCTACCCTCTGTCTACACACATCCAGACATCTGGGCCCGTGTCAACCCCTAGGCTCCTTGATGTCCTGGGACTTTTTGTCACCAAGGCCAGAGGATCTGCTGCTTTTAACCCCCTCCCACCTCAACCCCATACTGCTATAGTATAGTGAAGGCTCGCGAAATAAAGAGTGTTGCCCACCTTGGGTGGAGAGGGAGGATGTGGTAATAGGTAATGCGGGAAGGAGGATGAGGAGGAGGTTCCCCAGTAGGCAACATGGACCCCTCCTCTGGTGGAAAAGCAGATGCGTAAGCTGTGAGTTCCATGCTTCATCTTTTGTCCTGGGGAGAGACAGAGTTGCTGGCCCAGGGGCTCCCCATTGCTTGTAGGACCCCTAAAACTGCTGTAGCAAACACCCAGCCCCCTCTCACTTCTCTGGCCTTTAGGAATGAGGGGCCCTGGGCCAAGAATGATCTTTGCAAGGGAGAGCTGGGGACAGAGTGCAGGGGTCAGCCTGCCATAGGGAGGCTGGAATGTGCCTGGTCTCTGGCTCAGCTTGCGCCCATGTGAGCCTATCACCTGAGCTGCCTCCTTCCCCAGGGAGGTCTTCTCAGTTTGAGTGCATGGAGGTGGCCAGGGCTTTACTCCAAGATTCTGGGGAGCACTGTTCCCAGTCACTCTTTCCCTTCTGGATCCTTTTGGAGACTTCTGTAGGGCTGGAGAGATGGCTCAGCAGTTAAGAGCACTGCCTGCTCTTCCAGAAGTCCTGAGTTCAATTTCCAGCAACCATGTGGTAGCTCAGACCATCTATAATGTGCTTCTGTGCCCTCTTCTGGCATGCAGGCATACATGCAAGCAGGACGCTATATACTTAATAAATAAATAAGCTCCCTCCTTCCTTCCTTCCTTCCTTCCTTCCTTCCTTCCTTCCTTCCTTCCTTCCTTCCTTCCTTCCTTCCTTCCTTCCTCTTCCACAATGTGTTAGAGGCTGCACTGGATTCCTGGGTTCTGACCTGGGCTTGTCTTTTACTCAGTCTCTCTAGAAACATGAGTGTGAGCCGGGCCATGGAGGACAGCTGTGAGCTGGACCTGGTGTACGTCACCGAGCGCATCATCGCCGTGTCCTTCCCCAGCGCGGCCAATGAGGAGAACTTCCGCAGCAACCTCCGTGAAGTGGCCCAGATGCTGAAGTCCAAACATGGGGGCAACTACCTGGTGGGTGGACCTCACTCTTCTTGCTCATCCTGTTTACACAGAGAGTCTCTGCCCACTGCCCATGCCAGCACACCTTCCCTCAGTTCCCATGCATCTTGCAAGGCCCAGGTCTTCACTGTTATCTCAGAGAGAGTTGATTTTCAGGGGACCATATGCAGTAGAGTGTAGTATCTGGAACCAAGTGTGGGCTATTTGAGTGTGAGAACGTGTGGGTCCCTGTGCATGCATGTGTGTGAGGGTGAGAACGTGTGGACATGTGGGTGTGCAGACTAGGGGAAGAGAATAAAGACACAGTTTTATGTTGCTGAGCCTGCACTGCAAGCCGGGCCTTCCGATAACCTCTTCACCTTCAGAACAGGCCCTAGAGAGAGAGCTGAGGTCTGTAGAGCTGCTTCGGGTAGAAACCCTGGAGTAGACTTGGCCATGTGCAGTTTTGGAGGGCCCTGTGACTGGCTAGAGTCAACAGATATCAGAGAGGTGGGTGGCAGAGACCTCCTCTACAGCAGGAGACTGACCATTCCTGAGGGGAGGCTCAGATCTCTGTTCAGGGGCCTGGACTGCTGGCCCTCAGCCACTGGGTGCTGCTTGCCGTGTTTAGCAGAGCTGGGCTACGGTGGTTGCACAAGGGTTCTGGGGTTTCTGGGACAAATGGCCACACACTATTTGACTTAAAATGACAGGAATGTGTTCTGGAGGGCCGGCATCTGGTTGACGGTGAGGCCATGCTCCCTTGAATCCTGGAGGCAACCGCCTTCCTCGCCTCTACCCCACTCCTGGCCGCTCCCAGCACTCCCAGGCATTCCCTGGCTTGGGGCCACATTGCTCCATTCTCTGCCTTCACCTTCACATGGCCTTCCCCATCTGTCTCTCCTCTAGTTATAAGGACATTGGTTGTTGGTCTTAGGATCACCCTGAATCCAAGAATATCTCCTGGCAAGATCTTTAATTGTGTCCGAAGGTCCCAGGTTCTGAAGTTCTGAGTGGCCATGCATTTTGAAAGGCTTCTGTATCAACCCATCTATCATCGGTGCTGAGAAGTGCCTGGCTTCCAATAACAGAGAGTCCTGGCTTCTCATCCTGGCTCTGTGATAGCTGAATAGATGGCTATTAGTTATGAAGCCAGCTCTGTGACATTGCTAATGTCATTAAGTGTGCTCCTTAATGGGACCGAGAGTGTCTGGCCATCTCTGGCTCCAGGGATACAGAGTTCTAGATGCCTGTGCTCTGCTGTAGCCCCGTCCTTCCTGCCCATCTTAGGGTCTGCCCCTTTCCTCCTGGGAGCTGACATAGCTACTGTCAAGCTTGTGGTGGCTTAGATAGAGGTCGACAGTTCTTCACAGTCCTTCACGTGAGACAGGGTAGGCTGTTGGATGTGAGTAGGCTCTCTGTGTTTGAGGGGGCCCACCAGGATGTCTCATACCTTACCATGGAAGGAGGCCACAGGATAGAGAGGTAGTATTGCTGCGGGATTTGGTCCTAAAGCCAGAGGCTGGACTCCATCCCTTCTCATCCCCAGTTCAGGATATTCCCTTGCGAGGGGCCTGGCTGAGCGTGGTAGTCTCCACTTTCCCAAGAACTCATTGCTGGTCCTGTTGGCCAGCATGTGTACACGGTGGGAACATTTCCAATAGGCGAGAGAATGGCAGCAGGTGCCGGAGTCTGGGAGCTCATGGCTTGCTGTTGGCGGGGTCCTGACAAGCAGGGACAGACTCCCCCCCTCCTTTCTCAGCCTCACTCCTCCTTTGTCTCTTTCTAGCTCTTCAACCTCTCTGAGCAGAGGCCTGACATCACGAAGCTCCATGCTAAGGTGAGTACGTGGCTGTTTTAGGATGCCTTGGCCTGGCCTAACCTGGGGTAGCGGGCGAGAGAATATGCCCCCTCTTGTGTAGTTCCCTGACTGTTCCAAGCTCAAGGGCATCTCAGATCTGGAAAATGTATGATAATACCAACTACTGAAATTTCAAACAGTGGTTTCTGGCCTCATCTGCCCCCAGGGAGGAAATACACAGGGCCTCTGGGAGGGGGCTGCGGCTGTGTCTTTTCCACGTAGGCTGCTGTCCCAGGGTTTACTCTTCATGCTAAGTGAGTTGTTAGAGATGTTGTTGGGGACCTTGGCTTCTATCTGAATTCTGGCGCCTGTCAGTGAGGGACCTCAGGCAAGTGATAGATTTCTCTGGGCCTCAGACTGTGTCTCTGAGAGTGGGCAGCTGGCTTAGGCATGTTCTGTGGATCCTACCAAAGAGCGGCTGTTTTTATTTAGTGTTTTGTGAAGTTAGAGTTGGCCTGAGGGGGCTGTGAGGGCTTGAGGGTTTGTGGCCACTGGGATGTCCTGCTTCTGCACACTTCAGACTTCTCTCAGAGGCCTGGAAATAGACAGTCTGTATATTCAGGGTGGTGTGAGCACCAGGAGACCCTTTCCTTTCCTCTGTCTAAATCAGCCTTGAGCTGGCCTTTGAGGGGAGCTGGAGGGTTGGACTCAGGCCTCTCTGGAAGCTTTGAGATCACAGTTTCACATTGCACACCTTGGCACACATCCACAAGGATAATAGCTCTGGTTGAGGGACATGGCTTTGCCTAAGACCCTACTGTGAGCCTGGGTCCCAGGTCATGACCTTTGGTCTTTGAGCCTTGTCCCTCAGCAGGTCTGGCAAGCAGGACGAGTGTGGAGGCCTGGCTGCTGGTGGCTGCACCCATGCTGTGCTGGCTGGTTGATGGAGTCTCCAGGCTTCCCTTATTTACTTTCGGTTCACCCCCAGGTCCTGGAATTTGGCTGGCCTGATCTGCACACTCCGGCCCTGGAGAAGATATGCAGTGTCTGCAAGGCCATGGACACCTGGCTCAATGCAGACCCCCACAATGTTGTTGTTCTCCACAACAAGGTCAGTGTGCGGGCTGTACAGTGTGTGTACCTGGGTGTGTGAGTGTGTGTGCATGTGTGCACACTTGCCTGTGTGATTGTGTGAGTGTGCTCACCTACCTGCTTGTGTTTTCCATTCTAGAACATTATAGATTCTGCCCAAGAGTAGACCTCCAACAAATGGGGCAGCAGTTTATATTTCTGGCAGTGAGGGTGGGCTAGCTTTTCTGGCTTCTCTCCTGCCTCCCTCGCCATTGCTCCTCTTTCTCCGGAACGTCCCTCCTCTCTCCCACCCCTGGCCCCTAGGCTTTGGACAAGAGAGACTGTTTGGAAATGATGACCTTTTGCCTCTTTCAGGGAAACCGAGGCAGGATTGGTGTTGTCATCGCGGCGTATATGCACTACAGCAACATTTCCGCCAGGTGAGAGGTCTGCCATCTTCTATCCCTGCTTCTCTTTTCTGGACATTGACTTGAGGACACCCCTCCCCCATCCACATACCTTCTTGGGGCCAGGAAGTGCTCTCAGATAAAGAAGTAGAGGGATAAGAGGTACAAGAGCCCCTGGAGCTTGAGAAAAGTGCCCCAGCTCTGAGGTAGCATGAAAACAGCTTGCCGCAGGGAAGAGAGCCTTCCCCTGTGTGGAAGATACTCGCCAGCATTTTGGGGCCACGTATACTCTCTCAGTTGTCTTCCCTTTCCCTGAATGAGCCAGGAAGAGATCAGAAAGATGTATCATCGGAATTGAACCCAGGGATCAATCTGGAAGTTACCCTAAGCTGGCAGGGTTTTCTTTTGGCCTTGTTGTTTGGGAGAAAGAATAGGAACCAGCCAGTGGGAAGATCTCATCCTGACCCAACACAGGACAGAGACCGAAGGATCCTTCATCCAGTATGGCTGTCCAGAAGTTGCTATGTCTGGGACCACGTTATATGGTGCTTGGAAGGATGCAGAGGGCTCAGCCCTAGTACTGTCCTGGAGGGCTTTAAATACTAAGCAGGTTTGTTAGCAGCATCCATAACATAGAAGCCAGAAGTGGTATGTGGCCAGGGGGACCTGTGGCTATAGGGGCCCGGAGGATTGCTGTAGTTTGTGGAGAGGAACTATGGGTATGAGCAAAGTGTCTGCTGAGTATAGAGTTAGAGAAAGCTTGGGACAGTCAGGGTAGCAGAGAGCATGGCCTCGCTGGCCTTAGTGAGACTTTGAATTTGCTGTAAGCATGGTGGGAAGTTACTGGAGTGCAGAGTAATCTCTACATGCTCAGAGGATGGGTGTAGTGTTGTTCGGAGGGTGTCAGAAACCAGCCCAGCCTTGTGTCTGCTGAGTGGGCACCTATGGCTGCCAGGCTCTTAATGGGTGTCACCTCATCTGATCTCCTTTAAGCCTCATTTGATGAGGGGAATGAGGTTTTATGGAAATGATTACGTCTCAGGAGCAATTAGTAGTAGTCTAGAGATGGGTGCCCAAGCGGCTTGACTGAGAGCTACGCCATACAGATTAGAGATGCTTGAGCATCTTAGTTAGAGTTTCTATTGCTGTGAAGAGGTGCCATGACCACGGCAACTCATAAAAAGGAAAATATTTAATTGGACGACTTAAAGTTCAGAGGTTCAGTCCACTATAATCATGGTGGGACATAGTGGCATGCAGACATGGTGCTGGAAAAGGAGCTGAGAACTCTACATCTTTGATCTGTAGGCAATAGGAAGTAAACTGAGACACTGGGAGGTATCTTGAGCATAAGAGACCTCAAAATCCACCCCCACGGTGACACTCTTCTTCCAACAAAGCCACACCTACCTCAACAAAACCACATCTCTTGATAGTGCTCCTCTCTATGAGCTAATGGGGGCCAATTACATTCAGTTACACACAGTGCTGCATGGTGGATGGACAGTTTGTTGTTCCACAGAAACCAGGTTTTCTGGGGGCTGTGCAAGTCTAGGGGAGTCTGAGTGTGGTTGGACTTTTTCCCTTCTGCCAGCCAGCTCCCAGATAACCACATGGAGACTTCTTATTAATTATGAAATCTTGGCCTATAGCTTAGGCTTATTTCTAACTAACTCTTATAACTTAGATAAACCTGTTTCTATTGATTTACTCCTCCCATGCTGCCTTTCTGCTTCCTTCACATCTGACTGGAGACTCCTTGTGACTCCACCCTTCTTCTTCCAAGCATTCTCTCTGCCCTGAAAATTCTGCCTAGCTATTGGCAATATAGCTTTTATTTAAACCAATCACAGTGAAATAACTTCAAACAGTGTAAAGGAATGTTCTACAACACCCAAGTGAGGGGACAAAGGGCCCTTAGGTGTGGGAGTGGGCTTCTCTGATTGCCTGTGTCTCTCCACAGTGCTGACCAGGCTCTGGACCGGTTTGCAATGAAGAGGTTCTATGAGGATAAGATTGTGCCCATTGGCCAGCCATCCCAGAGGAGGTGAGTGCCAGGATTCCAGGCCCAGGTTGTGCTCTCCCTGTGGTGGATGCGGGCCTTGTGCACTCTCAGATGATGGATATCTGCTTAACTGAGGGTACTCTAAGCACAGACATTAAGACTGTAGTGGCATGGTGGTGCTCATAGTTTGGGGTGTCGGTTAGCTTCTGGGGCCTCTAGCAAAAAGACAGTCTGTGGTGGCAGAAGAGAGTGACAGGAAGCGTGAACAGGGGAGAGGGAGACGAGACAGAGATAGAGAGAGGGTACAGAGAGACAGAAACGGAGGGACACAGAGAGGGGGGATAGATCGAGAGAAGGAAGAGAGACAGAGGGAATAGAGGAGGGGGAGGAAAAAAAGGAGAGAGAAGGGAGGTGCAAGAGAGAAGACCCGAGCTGGGGAGCGCTGCTACATTGAGAGTGAACCGTAGGGAATGTGTAGGAAACTGGCTTTTTTCATAGAGATGGCCTGGCGTCCCGGGTGGGGGGATGGGAGCGGGTGTGTGTGTGGGTGATTGTGAAGTCCTAACTGGAGCAGTGGTGATGACTGGGGCACCCTTCTTCTACAGATGAGAAGCCTGAGGTCAGGGTGGGGATAGGGCCAGGGGGCCACAGTGAGTGGCAGCTGAGTTAGAATATGGGTGCAGGGCTGGGAACTTGGGGCCAGGGTGGTGTCTGGTGCCTGGCAGGGGTCTGCCCATAGATGAAACGTGATCCACGGAGCGGGGAGTGGTCGAGGTCACCTGGTCATGGGGAAGCTATAGCCACGACAAGCCCTAGCCTAGGCCGGAGACTTAGAGAGCAGATCCCTGTTGTGGCTGTGAGCTGTGGGCCTGCTTACCTGTCTGTATTGGCTTAGCCTCGTTCTCGCACCAAGGACAGGGCACTAAATCTGTCATACAAAGGCGTGCGTGGGCATGTTTCTTGTCAGCAGCTGCATGCTTCCAAAGAGAAGATCGTTGCAGAGGTGAACAGGTGTTTCTGGAGGAAGTTCAAACCAGAGCGATGGGCAGGCACGGGGCTGGTTCAAAGTGACGCATGACAGGGGAAGGTCTGGGTGAGCAGGGTGAAGGTGGGGGCCCAGCCAAGGCTGGGGGTCTGGGCGCAGCAGGCAGGAAGCCTGGAGGCTTCTGTAGCTCCTGGGAAATTAGCTATAGATTGCAAGGGCCCTTCCTGCCTCTTCAAATTGAGGATCCCCAATATACACCCACGTTTCCCCCCCCCCCCACCTTGCGTACCTGGACTGGGTCTGCTGTCACTGCTGGGGACCATTACTGCCTTTGTAGTTGGAAGGCCAGATAAAAGTGTGTGACTACTCACGGGGTACCCAGGAGCCCAGCGCCTCCTGCAGTGCAGCCACACTGACTGACAGCCTCCTAGAAGCCCTCAGCGTTCACGGGAGGAAGCAGTACAAGCCAGGTCCCAGCTCCTGGTGTTCTGGTGTGCACACGTGACAACATGGTCTCTGTCACCTTTGACCCTGAAGATTAGAGTTTACTTCCTAATAGGAATGTGGAACATTACTCTGTCCCTCTGTGGACTGGAGAAGGTGGGCTGAGCAGTGGCCATGATGCTGAGCAGCAGAGACCTAGGCTCCTCTAGTCAGAGAGAGAAGTCCAAGGGATTCCTCACATGCCTACAAGCCATGAAGTTGTCACGTGACTTTGCGGGTGTTATCAGCATCTGCCCCCGGCTCCCATGGGCCACTGCATTTGGTGGGTGGGGCAGGCCACACTGTCCACACACATGAGAAAGTGCAGCTGTTGGTTTCAGGAATAATGCTCCCTGCCAGTCTCCTCTGCCTTCTTGTCAGTGTTCCTCACAGGAGACCTGGCAGTTGGAGGGGGAGAGCAATGACTGAGCAGGAGGGGCTTTGCCTGTAGCTCATTGTCACCCGCCCTCGGACTCATTGTCCCCAGAACACAGACACATCCTGTTGGCCTAGTCAGGAGATCTGATGGGAACCTGCCATTCCAGGTTTCCGGTTTGAGTAACGGGCCGGGGGGTTCTGGGCAGGGCCCTGAATAGGAGCTGGCAATGCCCATCAGATTATCTCGCTAGGGGAGGCTGAAGTGGCCCCACCCAGGCTCAGGGACTGGGCCTGGAGGAGGGCCAAGGGATGGGGGGGGCGGTGTTATACTGGTGTCATAATTGGAGTCTCATCCTCCTGGGGAGCCATTGGCTCTAAGAGTCCCGAGCTGCGTTTGATTGGTTTGTCTCATTCAACCTGGTTCTCTAGCGAATCAGATAGGAGGAAACGTCAACCACCAGCACCAAAGGACTGGTTTGGGAGATGCTTCCTCTCTCCCATCCCCTGTTTTGTGTGATTTTGCTGTGTGTCACAACTCCTCCAGGACCTGATTGTTCCTCTCTGTCCGGAAAGAAAGGGGATGGCTCGGTCCTTCCATTCTACCAGCAAGATCTTTATTAAAAGAACTGGAAATCGCTGGGGCTGGTGTTGTAGCTTCATGTGTTGAGTGCTTAGCATGCGGGAGATCCCTGCTCCCCTGCCCCAGAAACATAAACAAAACCCCCAAAAGAAGCAAACTAAAAACCCAACTACAAACCAGCCTAGAGACAGGATGCTTGTTGGAAGTTAATTATCTCAGATCCCAAGTAAAGAAGTTAATATAGAAAACTCCATACATTCGGTGGGAAGTGAAATAAGCAACGTAGCTGGTGGTGGTGGCACACGCCTTTAATCCCAGCACTTAGGAGGCAGAGCCAGGCAGATCTCTGTGAGTTTGAGGCCAGCTTGGTTACAAGAGCTAGTTCCAGGACAGGCACCAAAACTACACAGAGGAACCATGTCTCAAAAAACAAAACAAAAACAAAAACAAACAAAAAACAAAAACAAAAAAAATCCAAAGCACTGTAATATTATTAAGCATTTACTGTTTGCTGTGTGCCTGGGTGTGTGTGGCAGAACCAGGGCCTAGCGTAAGTTTGAAGTGAGAACAGTCATAAACTGGGTTTGACCCAGTCAGGCTCTTAGGAGTGTTTGGTTGGGCAGCTTGCTTTATGCAGTTGTAAGCCAAGAAATTATCTCTGCCAGTGATGGTGGTGTGATGCCTGGGTTGGGAGTGAGGAAGGAAAGAGATGCTCATGTTCACCACCAGGGGGTGCTAGAGAACGCCAAGTAGGCTGTGGGCACAGCTAGTTTTCTGGTTGTTTTTCTCCCTGGGTCCCTCCCTGCAAATCTGTAGGACTGCACAGGCTAGGAAAACTCAGCTGCTGTGTGGCCTGAGGGGTGCACGTGTCATGAGGGTGAGGGTAGATGGAAGCCTAGGGTGGTGTGCTTGAAGAAAGAGTGAACAGATAGAAGGATACATAAATATGTAGATGAGTGAATGGGTGGGTAGATGGATGTGTGGATTGGTGGTGGGTGGATAGATAGGCAAGTGAGTGGGTATGTGTGGGTAGGTGGATGGGTGGGTGGGTAGATGGGTGGGTGGATGGATGGGTGGGTGGGTGGCTGGATGTGTGTATTGGAGGGATTGGTGGTGGGTGGATAGATAGGCAAGTGAGTGGGTATGTGTGGGTAGGTGGATGGGTGGGTGGGTAGATGGGTGGGTGGATGGATGGGTGAGTGGGTGGCTGGATGAATGGATATTGTGGATCGGTGGGTGGGTGGATAGATAGGCAAGTGGGTGGGTAGGTGTGTGGGTGGATAAATGGGTGGGTGGGTAAATGGATGTGTGTATTGGAGGGTAGGTGGGTGGGTGGATGGATGGGTGGGTGGGTGGGTGGTTGAGTGTGTGGCTGAGTGGGTGGGTGGATAGAGGACTCCCCAGGCCCTTCCCTGATGCTACCCTATTCCTGTGCAGGTATGTGCACTACTTCAGTGGCCTCCTCTCTGGCTCCATCAAAATGAACAACAAGCCCTTGTTCTTGCACCATGTGATCATGCACGGCATCCCCAACTTTGAGTCTAAAGGAGGTACCTGTCCCATCCCTTCCCTCCAGCCTCTATTTCCTTTTTGGTAGCCTTGGGTGGTAAGCCGTGTGTTATGCTGTGGTGTCATCTGGACTTGTGTGGGGCTCTCGGCAGAGCTCAACCCTACTCCTCCTCAACGTGGGGCTGACACCTGACCATGCCTAGTGGCAGAAGACGCTGGGCGAGGCAGTTTTTGCCTACTTACAATACCTTAGGAACAAAGTTAGTCTTTCTTCCTGTTCTTGCTGCCTTCTTTTTCTCTTCCTCTTTTCCTCCTCTCCCCTCCCTAGGTCCCTTATTTCCTCAACCGTTTCTACTTCTTAGCTCACACCTCCCCCTCTCTGATAGGGTGCCGGCCGTTTCTGCGCATCTACCAAGCCATGCAACCTGTGTACACATCTGGCATTTAGTAAGTAGTCTGTGTGAGGGAGGGTGGGTGTGGGGCAGGAGGAAGGAGAAGGGAGCCTGCTTCCTCAGTGAACTCTCTCTTCTTCATCCCCTCTCTCCCTCAGCAACATCCCCGGAGACAGCCAGGCCAGCATCTGTATCACCATTGAACCAGGGCTGCTCCTAAAGGGGGACATCTTGGTGAGCTCCACCCTCCTCCTCAAGGGTCCCTTCTCTTGTCCTGCTCCCACCCTGCCCCAGGGACACGGGACATGCAGCTACTCCGGGGAGTTACTGAGTTTCCAACTGTGGGTTCCTGTATGCTCTCCCAGCCTCAGTAGTCTTAGTCTTCCTTCCTCCCTCAGAGTGGACATTCAATTCCTAGCTTCATCATTTGCTCTGGGGCAGCCTCAGGGTACCACCATTCAGTGTGCACTGTGGCCTTCTAGCTCTAGACCGGTGACAAGACACTCCCCACAATTCCAGACTGTTCCCTTCTTCTTCTGTTCTGGAAGTTTCCCAAAGAGCTTTGAGATCTTGTTTGGTATTGGTGACCTCTCTCTCTTGAGTTTGGGGTGAGCCTTGGGACTCAATTAATGGAGTGAGTTCGGAGAACCCCTGTGGCCTGACCTTTCACTCTTTGCCCCTCCCCATACAGCTGAAGTGTTATCACAAGAAGTTCCGGAGCCCGGCTCGTGATGTCATCTTCCGGGTGCAGTTCCACACCTGTGCCATCCATGACTTGGGGGTTGTTTTTGGGAAGGAAGACCTGGATGAAGCCTTCAAAGGTGGGCTCCCTGATGGGCAAGATGGGGCTCCTGTAGCCGGGTAGGAGTCCAGTGTGGAATGACGTGGTGGATGCAGGGGCCGTCTCTCCTGAGCCATGTGGTTTGTCAGGTCTCAGGGGGCTCTTGATGCCATTTTGAGGAAACTGAAGGCGAATCATGGCAGGTCTGGGGTGGTCTTAGAGTTTGTGTTGTAACAGAGATCAAGATCAATTCCTCTCAGGCCATCCCTGCACCCCAACAACCCCTGGGCTGTTTTGTGCCCCCACCCTTCTCCAGTGATTGCTTCAGAGTGTCTCCTTGTCTGCTCCCGTGTTCCACGTGACCAATGGGAGTGAGAGTTCTGGCATTCACAGTATCTTAATATTGGGCTCGATATTAAGTGCTGGAGTCAAAGTGAAACATGATGTGGTCTCTGTTTGGGTAAAGCTAAAAAAATCTCGAGGAGACAGCTGCAGCAGAAAACAAGCATCAGAAAACATGCACCAAAAGAAGGGTGCATGTAGTGATGGTGGCAATGAGGAGGAAGAACTGCAGTCAGGGAGGCTGGGGTCTTCTATCCACTTAAGGCTCTGCCAAATCACCTCCAGGACTGGAGTGCGTCCGTGTGTGCATGCGTGCGTGTGTGTGTGTGTGTGTGTGTGTGTTCCATATTAATGTCTCTATTCATGCATACACCCATCTGCACATTTCTTCCATTAACTGCCTGTTAACACACCATCTTTCATCCATCCACCTGCACTTTTGTGGTGTTATCTACCCATTGGTCTGTCTGCCCGTTCATCTCCCATCCATCCATCCATCCATCCATCCATCCATCCATCCATCCACACACAGTTACTCACCTGCTAATGCGTGTGTGCATCCATCATACATTTGTAGGCGGAGGATGCTCATTCATTTCCTAGCTGCCCAGACCTGAAATAATCACACAGAAACTTTATTAATTACCACACTGCTTGGCCAATGATTTAAAGATATTCCTGGATGACTCTTATATCTTAAATTAACCCATTCCTATTACTTTATATTTTACCACGAGGCTCATGGTTTACTGGTAAGGTTCCGGGGTGTCTATCTCCTTCGGCAGCTACATGTGTCTCCTCGACTCCGGCTACTCTCTCTCTACACCTCTGTTTAGATTTTCCGCCTGGCTTTACTCTGTTAAGCCATTGACTGAAAGAAGCTTTTTTATTAACCAGTGGCAATAAAACATATTCACAGCATACATCAGGGAATCCCACATCATAATTCATATCCACCCGTTAGTATACCCACTCCTGTGTACTCTGGGTTCTCCTGTGTACTCCGACCCATGTGGTGGGAAAGGATGTTCTATGAGCGCTCTCTTTGCATCCGAGATGGAGGAGCAGTTTGCTATGAGTTTCAGGACAGATTATAATCGGTCTTGAGGGGAGAGGAAGGTGGAGCTGGCAAAGTCAAGAAGAGGTTGAGGAGACACAGAGGAAAGGGGGTCCCAGTTTCCTCCTGCATGGCACAAGTGTTGCATTTATCTAATTATTCTTTATCAATAGAAAATCGGGAGTCAGATATCAGGGTAAGAACCTGAATGATCAGGGAGGTGGCAGAGAAGCAACCATTGACCTCCTATCACTTCTGTTCCTCCATCCAAAAGAACTGAGATCCTTTTTAAATCCTGCTTTATTACTTCCTATCTCTCTGTCTGTCCTCAGTCTTCCAAAACCTCTATGATTAATTTTGGTCAACTAGCAGCTATCTCTGCCCCCTGATTCATAACAAAATTTATTGTCAGAAGGTAATCAAAATATCACACATTTTACCCTTTTGTCTAAATTAAAAGAGAGGGTTTTAACTCTAACATAGTAAGGTTATGTACAATAAGAACAATTACCAGGGAAGAATTACATTCATAATGTCCAGTCTATTTGCATTTGGCAAATTCAGAAAAAAATACTCTATTATCTATCCTATCTTGGTGAGTCCAATGTTTGGTACCTAATTCACTGTCTATCCTAACTTGTATTACTAACCCATAACTATCCTTTTATTTCTCTCAACCTGATACACTTTACATCTCTTTTATGAGTTACTTTTCTGAATTTGGTAACAATGAAAACTATAACTATCTAGCCTTCAATTAATCAGTGACCCAAGAAGGATATAATGTTACTTGTGTAAACAGAAAGTGCAGAACATACAACTTCCAAAACTATAGAATTGACAGAAACAGCTGGCTGCCTGGACACTCACCCAAGGTTCTTCTGCAACTCTGGGGCATCCATCTTCAGCCTACAGGCCTAGATTACCAGACAGATGTTTCTGTGAAGCAGGAATTTTGAAGAACTGTTCCACTTTGTCTTGGCAAAGTTTGTTACTTTCTTTTGTGTCCTGCTTGTCCAATTAGAACAGCAAACTGTCAGCAGTCAAGGCAAGGGCATTTTCTTGCCCAGTGGCTAACTTTTGCTGCCAAGAAAGCAAACTCCATATGGAGTTTCTTAGATGCTTCTCTGAAGTAGATTGGTGCTGCCAGGAACAGACATGTCTTATTGTCATAAATAATCTTATATTATTAAAACATCTTAAATGCTATATTCTGTAGGTCTCTGAAGTGTTTGAAGTAGACCTGTTTGACCTTGAAAACATACCTAACATGACTACAAATTTGATTGTATTAACTACTAACTAACTACTAATATGCATTTCTTTATTATCCTAGATAGTTTGTAATAATAACTTTCAAGGACTGGAAATGCACATTACTCTGTTAAATGAGCTGCATAGGTACAATACCTTAAACAAGAGTAGAAACATATGTACAGAGTGTTCTAACAAAAATAACTCTAAATTTGTATCAATATACAAAAATATCTTAAACAAGAAATAGAAACATATATACAGTATAACAAAACTAACCTTAAATTTGTATCAGTATACAAAAATCCACACCAATGTAAAACATTTAAGGCTAGTGGTTACGTTTTTTGGTTTAAGAGTAGATTTGGTAATCTACCCCTTTATCCCATCATTTCTATATTCTCTCCTTTTGTTTTCAGAACAAGATCCCTGGTCTAATCTCCTTTGTTCAGCTTTTTTTCTTGGCCATTACTGATAACACTTGTAACGAACCCCTCTAAAGGGTGATAAATAGCCACAATCCACTGAATGACCCAAAATTATCTACCTCACCTCTTGGGAATGTGGGCATTATGTTCTCTAGATTTTTCTTGTTATCTGGGATGGGGGGGGCAACAGCATCTCTAGGGGACCCTGAGAGAATTGAGATAATGGTCAAGTCTGGAAGATCTAGCTGTATCATTTGTTGCCAGTCTCTGTGTAATGGGCAAGTGTAGGGCCTATCTGAAATCCTGGCTGGAGTAGTGCCTGAGGCTGGACCACCTCAGTTAGCCATCTTGAAATTGTCCTGAGCAGTTTGCATCCAAAGCTGATCTTTGGGTGGTGTTTGTCAGCTTAGTGGTGTTATCCATCCATGTGGAATTGTTGTTGTGGGGTCCCATCATCCTTTTTGAGACTTCAGAGGTCACTGTTAGGAATGGCCATGGTTCAATGCTGAAAACTTAAATGTTTTATGTGTCAGATGTGGCAGATCTTGGAAAGGTTAAAGGACCTTTTGTTAGGTACATCCAGAGTATACAAACTTAATTCCTAGTTACCTGATAGAGACTCAAACCTGAAATCATGTACAGAAAGCTAGATAAAGCCTTTTTCTAGAATTAGTTAGTACTCAGTATGATCACTAATATCATGACAGAAAGTTTTTTAAAAATATATTAATCTTATGAACTTTAAGATAATATTTATACCTTAAGAAAAGCTTTCAAAGGTCAAAATAAAACCAAAGGATTATGAGATTAGTGATGATAGAATAGTCCCTTAAATTTGGTTTTTCTTCTATCCCATACCATGTAGTTCTCCTGACATGAGACAGAGATTTTAGATTTTTCTTTAAGAAGCATGCTTGGGTTTAGAGAAGGAGAGAGCCATTCCAATTCCAAAGCAGCTTGAATTTTTTATTGCACTGGGACTACAAGAAGATCATTTATCTTATATGTCTGTAGAGAACAGCAGAAACAAACATTTGGGAAGATTTATGAAATTTTATCCTGTTGGAAATTATATCCTGTGATATACCATTAGGCCAATTTACTCTTCTTGAAACATTTCCTCTGGATGATTCGTCCTTTTTCTTTAGATGTCTGCCTTGTCCAGTGATCTTCAGATTCATTAATTGGATGCCTTCATTCTCCTGGATTGACAAAAATAAAACCCTGCCCCAACCCTGACATTGGGAATTTTCCTTTTTGGCAGGTTATATCTGATCAAATGGAAAGCATTTGTTAGTCTTATAAGTTAGTTTAGATTGAATGGCCACAGTGATTGATGAACTATTGTCTCTTTTAATCAAGAGGTTCTCCTGTTCGAATCTAATCTTTATCAATTTTGATGGTATCCATAACTTTTCTTCTCCTGTGGGAACAAAAGAAAACCTCTTCCCCAGTGTAACACATGTCCTGGCTTCCATTCTGAGGTCAATCCATCCTTGAAGTACATAGGCTGATTTAATTCAGCAGTTTTTTTTTTCTCTTATCCAATGTCTCACCACAACTGTCATTCCTTTCTCACTGGCATTTAAGAAATTTAAAATTAATAAAGCATTGCACAATCTATCTCTGGGGGTCTTTACTACCCCTTTCTGTTTATTAAGCATAGCTTTTAGAATGCAATGAGATCTTTCTATAGCTGTTTGCTCTGTAGGATTTGTGGTAAACCTATAATATGCTTTATGTTGTAATATGCAGAAAAACTATTTTCATTTTACTAGAGACATATGCTGGAGCATTGTCAGTCTTAATTTGTACAGGTATCCCCATGATGGCCATAATGTCTAAGAAATGTATAATCACAGAATCAGCCTTTTCAGAACTCAAGGCAGTTGCCTATTGAAATACTAACTATGTAGCTATAGTATGGTGTACATATTTTAAGTTTTCAAACTCTATAAAATGAAACACATCCATTTGCCAAATTTCATTTTTTTTTGAGTGTCCCTTGGGTTACTTCCTGCAGGTAGTGGAATTTGGTTATACAAAGAACAAGTAGGACATTTCATTATAATTTCCTTGGCTCATTGCCAAGTGATAGAAAAAGCAGTCGTGGAGAACCACTGAGAACTGACAGACCTACAAACAGAAACTTAGCCACAGTATCTGTCCTAGTGCTGTCATCAAACACCACGACCAAGGCAATTTGGGAAGGAGAAGGTTTATTTGGCTTATACTTCCACATCACTGTTCATCATGGAAGGAAGTCAGGACAAGAACTCCAAAACGGCAGGAAATTAGAGGCAGGAGCTGATGCAGAGGTCATGAAGAAGTGCTGCTTACTGACTTGTTCCCCATGGCTTGCTCAGCCTGCTTTTTTATAGAACCCAGGACCATCTTCTCAGGGGTGGTATCACCCACAATGGACTGGACTCTTCCCCATCAATCACTATTAAGGAAATTCCCTACAGGCTTGCCTACAGTCTGTCCTTATGGCGGCATTTTCTCAAATGAGGTTCCCTCTTTTCCAGTGACTCTAGCTCGTGTTGAGTTTTGGCATCAAACTATCCAGCACAGTACTGGAGGGAATCAGTGGAATAAATAACAACCTACCAAGATTTAAGAAGAAAGGAGGCTGGGTGTGGAAGAGTATGTCTGTAAACCTGGTGCTCAGGAGGCTGAGACAGGAGAGAGTTTCCTACAGTGTGACCCTGTAGGAAAAGAAAAAAAAGAAGAGGGAGTAACGGGAGACAAATAATTTACCTTCATAGCAGTGAATCAAGCAGGCTTTACTTAGAGCCTGGAAATAGTGCTGCAAATACAGACTGTGACGTAGAGCCTTGAAGGTGGACTAATGTAGTCAGAACTGAAAGGGTTAAGCTTGCCGCACACTAAGTAGAGCTCTGGTGAGGCTATGGCCTGCAGTTCCAGACGTGTGACTGGGCTGGGTCTGTTCCCCCGTTGGTCATGTGCTGGCCTAGTGTGCTTGTGAAGCCCTAGGCTTGATCCCCTGCACCTGTGATTTCAACACTCAAGCGTTGGAGGGAAAATGGTTGAAGTCTATCCTTAACGACATAGTGAGTTTGGGGCCAGCCTGGACTACCTGAGAACCTGTCTCAAAATATTTTTTCCCTATGTACATGCAACTTCCTCTGTGTAAAAGATTATATGTATTATATTATTAACTATATATACACATATGGCTGCATTCTTTTCTATAAGAAACTTTTCTCTTTAGGGATATGGGACCCATTTTCTCCTTTCTTTCTCTTTTAGATGATCGATTTCCTGATTATGGCAAAGTGGAGTTTGTATTTTCCTATGGGCCAGAGAAAATTCAAGGTACAGATGACGTTTTAGCCCTTTCCCTGCAGCCTTGCCTTCCCCACCTCACTCTCAGCATCCTCCCACTGGTCAGCTCTACAAACATGATGGTACTTTAGAGGTGGGTCAAGGTACAGGACCAGGGCATCAGAGTGGACTTCCAGCTAAATCTGATCTAGCTCCTTAACTTCAATATAACAAAAATAAATGCAGACAGTGAGGCGCTGAGTTGACAAAACTGTTCTGGTCCCTGTAGGTCACCATCTTGTTATATTCAGAGACTGAGGGCCTTGGCAGATGGAAGGGACAGCCAGAGCACATTCCGAGGTGTTGGGTGGATTGTGGGTATTTATGAACCAAAGTGGCTCAACCTGAAGGCCAGTTTAATAATAACCTTTCTTCCTCTTGACTCTAAATATGGAGACCAGTTGCTCTTTATCTTATTTGAGAACAGAATGGGAGGAGATGAAGTTAGGTTACTGGCAGAGGGACCTTGAGTAGACTAAAGAAAGGACTGCCAGGCCAGGACGATAGGCTACCCTGGATGGCCTGGCAACTGGCTGAATTGACTCTGAGGTTGCAAAAGAGACTGGCCTGTTCTTATGGCTGTCTGTCTGGAATAGGGAGCATCTTAAGTGGGGGCAGGGCACACCTGCGATGTCCTTTTCCAGGCTGTGTCCTCTCAATGTCCTGCCTGTGATGTCCCTGCTGTCCCCTCTTACAGGTGGTCCAGGACAAGCCTGTCCCTATCCCTTCTCCAACCCTTGCTCCTGCCCCAGGGCCATAGATGTTATAGGAGCAGCCACCCAGTGGGTGCAGGCATGCTCTCTCTCTAGGGTTTGTGGGGGGGGGGGGGAGGTCCTTTCTTTATCAGTGCCCTGTGTTAATCTGCCCCTATGACCTGGTCCCAAACTCCTGGAATCTTCAGGTAACCCAAGTCATTGTCCCATTCTAGACATTCAAGACAGCAAACAGTTCATCAGGGATGGCCCATAGGGGAGCTCACTGGTCTTTTGCTTCACTAGATGCTCATCTCTTTTCTCCTGTCCCCTCTGTCCCCTGCTGTCTCCCCACAGGCATGGAACACCTGGAGAACGGGCCTAGCGTATCTGTAGACTATAACACCTCGGACCCCCTCATCCGGTGGGATTCCTATGACAACTTCAATGGACATCGTGAGGATGGCATGGAGGGTAGGTGACCCACGAGTGCCAGGCTCTCACCAAACTGGGCAGCCCTGGCCTGTGGAACCTTGGTTCTCTGGGGTCTTTGTAGAAGGGGCAGCTATAAGTGCAGCTGGAAGTACCTGTTCCGTCTCTTTGGAACCTGCCCTCAGGTGTCTCCAGGCTGTGTCTGTATTTGTAGAGGCCAGAGAAGGGATATGTAGATGAAGTATTTGGGGACCTAATAGTATATATAAGGATCCAGTGAAAATATCTGAGAACTCAATGTGGCGTTTCAAGATGCAAAAGGGGGAAAAATGCTGCAGAGCGGCTACTGTGTCTGTGCCTACTTAACGTGCCTGAAAACACAGCCTATTTCCTGCTCAGCTGCAGTCAGGTGTGCTCTGGAGAGTTCTGTGGCCGGTCCATTGGTTTGTTTGGCTCTTGGAATATGTAGGAGGTTGAGGGGCAGAGTCTCTGAAGATGAGCTTGCTAGATTGAGCACAAAGTCTTGCAATGCCACCTTGGGTTTGGCCCTTGGCTTGTTTTCTGATTCAGCCACAGGAAGGCAGGATGTTAGAGCAGGTTGGAGGGTCCCCTGCATCTGTCTTCAGAATTGGGGTAACTGAGGTCTTCTGGAAGGTGGGACCATGACTTGCTCCTCAGACCCAGGCTGTGCTCTCTCAAGGACACCAGCGACAACCTCTCTCTACACCAAAGCCAGCTGGGGCTTGCTCTGGTGATGGAGTGGTACCGAGGAGGGAGAACATGGCCTGGGACTCTCACCTGTTTCCCTCCTCTCCGTTCTCCTCTGTCGCCCTTGCCCAGACATCCTGTAGGGCTCTGACCTGGAAGCCATGCTGCAGCCATCAGACAGACCGGAGGAGGGAGGCTAGATTAGAATTCAGGGGTTCCACGGGAGTGCATTTATGCGTGGCACCACCAGGTTGGTGGCTTGCTCTTGTACCCTCTCAAGGGGCCTTCTTCTCCCACTCTGATCCTTGCCCCCACACCCAGTTCCCGTCTTCTGAGTGGCTGAGGGGCCTGGGTGTGGGGTGGAACAGAGGAACGAATGAATTGTCTCTGCAGCTGCCGCCATCAGCCTCCTTGTTTCCCTATTGGGGAAGTTTGCATTTTTAACAAGAACACTTGGCAATTTGAAGGAATTTTTAATGCCTCGCCATTTCTCCCTGGTACAGAGTCGATGCGGTGATAAGTGTAAAAATATTTTGTGAGCGCTAACGTGCCAAGAGAATCAAAGGTAGAATAATTAAGGGTTGGAAGGATGCATGGAGCCAGCTCGAGGGAAGGAAGAGGAACAGAGCTAGGGTCTGAGGGGAACCTGGAGTAGCAGGTTCAGAGGACAGGCAGGACAGACGAGGGAGGCCCTGGCTGGCTCTGCAGCCCTCACTCCATGATGTGCTTCCCCAGCAGGGGATGGAGCTGGCAGGACCTTGGGCCAGTAACGAGGTCAGCTGGTCCTATCAGGACAGAGGGGCTGCTATATGCAGGCAGAGAAGCTGGCCCTTTGCCCGTAGAGGGGCAGATTAGGGGTTTGCTGTCCCCTTCCCTGCCTGGCCTGACAGCCTAGGGTGGAACAGTTGCCGGGAAATGGCTGCCTTGTGCTCTGATTGTGTGTGTGTCTTGTGGCCTGGCCCTGGGCTGCATTCCCACTGGGCCTGGAGACCACCAAGGCTAGCCCAAAGCTTGAGCATGGATTGTGTTCCAGTCCTGTCCTTGTCTGGGGGCCTTTCCGTGGGAGGCTCTCTATCCTGGGACCCAGAGGGTAAAGGACTATGTGTGTGTCTAATGGTTAAGAGGAGGAAACAGGACTGCTTAGACTGCTTGTCACCTTGGTTGTGGGTAACACGTGGTTCATCTGTGCTTAGGCTGGGAGGAGGAGGCAATGAGGGAAGAGAGGAAAAAGAAGGAAGCCCATATTGGAAGTAGGCTCTGTCCAGGGCCAATGGCCCGGGAGAGAAGTACTTGCCATCTCAGGGACTTCTTCCTGGGGGTCTCTGGTCCTAGCTGTCTTGGGTAACCATCTGAAGGCACCACAGGTGGGCCCTAATGGACAGACATTTGCTCTCATGGTTCTGGATTTTGAGACCAGGGCTGGTGTCCCTGAGGCCTGTCCTCTCGGCGTGTAGACTCTGCCGTTGCCCTGTGTCCACCTTTGTGTGTCTGTATCCTGATCTTCTCTTTATATGCAGGACCTGCCTCAGTGGCTTTCCTTTGCCATAACTGATTCTTTCTTCAGCCACTGCACTGTGAAGCCTGTGGCCCAGAGGGGATGGCTCAACCCATCACGTGTAGGATGGAACTTTCTGTGTTCCATGCAGCTGGACATCCCGGCTCAGTTTTCTGAGTAGGGAGAAGTGAGAATCCTGGGTTGTGGTGGAGAGCTGTCTGGCCCCTGCTGCTCTCCTCCTTGAATCTTCCTCCACCTCCCTCTGAGTTGGTGTGGAGCCAGTCAGCTTGGCCTTGGCTCACACCACAGTTGGAGCATCCAGGAGTCCCATTAGCTCTTTGGCCCGAGCTCTGAGCCCCCGTGCCCAGGTCCCAGCACCTCTTGGATGGGGGTGGGGGTAGGACTTTGTTTTTGTCTATGCTGCACAGAGCAGTGTCCAAATTCTCCCAGAGGGTTCCAAGACACCACTTTCTGAAACAAGTTCCAGTAGCAGGGTGGGGTGGCCTCTGCTCCTGAGAAGCTGAAGAGCCAGGAAACCGAGCTGACCCAGTGCCCTCCACTTGCTGTCCTCTGACTTCTTGGCCATTAGCTAATGGGAGTTAGGACTGGGGACCAGGGCGTGGAAGCAGATTCTCAGACTGGAAGTCAGGGTGAAGGGAGAAGGAAATTCATCTCATGCCTAATGGGGGTGGCAAGGATGCTGTTATCTGTCACTTCTGGGTTGTGCTTGTGTGAGGTACCCAGGGTAGATGGCAAGGGATTTGGTTTTGATGTCCAAACTTTTATGTTCTTGGGCTCTGAGGAAAACCATATATTTTCTCAGGGGAGAGTTCTAATCCTTCTTCAGTTTTTCTGTCTCAGCTGAGAAGAGTCCCTCATCTACAGTAAGGAGTCCCTGGTCTGGGTTGAGCTTGTCAAAGGAATGACTTTTTTGAGAGGGAAGGAAGAAGGGAGGGAGGGAGAGAGAGGGAAGGGGAGAGAGAGAGAGAGAGAGAGAGAGAGAGAGAGAGAGAGAGAGAGAAGGGGGGGGGAGAGAGAGAGAGAGAGAGAGAGAGAGAGAGAGAGAGAGAGAGAGAGAGAGAGAAATGGGAGGAAGATAGAGGAGGGGAAGATGCCGCAAACAGGTAACAAATGAGGAGAAAGACACAGAGGAATGACCCAGAGAGATGGAGAGGAAGATCTGGGCTAAGGGTCCTGGACATCCTTGATGACCCCTTCCTGTGGGTCTTCACTTTTAGTTCGCATAGAAATAGGATGTGGGGCCGGGCTATGGTGGCGCACGCCTTTAATCCCAGCACTTGGGAGGCAGAGGCAGGCGGATCTCTGTGAGTTCGAGACCAGCCTGGTCTACAGAGCTAGTTCCAGGACAGGCTCCAAAACCACAGAGAAACCCTGTCTCGAAAAACAAAAAACAAAACAAAACAAAACAAAAAATAGGATGTGGGGGGGGGGCTGGAGAGTTGTCTGGAGAGTTGGCTCAGAGCATGCTGGTTGCTCTTCCATAAGAGGATGTGAGTTCAATTCCCAGCATCCAAATGGTGGCTCACAGCGTCTGTGACTCCAGTTCTGGGGCCCTGATACTCTCTTCTGATCTCTGAAGGCCCCAGGCACACAGATGGTACATATACACACATGCAGGAAAAACATCCATACACAGAAAATAAAATAAAGATAAAAAGAAAGAAATAGGATGTAGGAGTAGACAGCATTTCTTCTCATTTTGAGCTCAACCAGTGTTTTCTTTGGGAGCTAAAAAGAGGATGAGATGGTCCTGACTCATTTATCTTCTCAACTCTTGAGTTCCATAGGGGAAAGAAATGGCAGAGTGGTTGCATCAGTCAGCATAGGCTAGCAGAATCTGCAGTAACAAACATCCCCATTCACATGGCTTCCTCCAGTCAAGCATACTCCCCGCTCAAGGTATCTGTCCACCGAGGATAGGAATAGGCTTCTGTTCATCCTAGTTTCCCTAGTGAGGGGGGTTTCATCTAGAAGTGTCTCTCTCATTGATGCCACTTGTCTGGAAAACAGGTACCATAACAGGACCTTCCACCTAGGAGTGGTGCTTCCGAGTCAGGGAGGGTCGGTGCCAGAAGCAGAGTGTTTGTTAAGTGCTATGTTGGCAGGACTCTGTCTGTGGCAGCCATGCTGGAGTAGATACGACAAAGATGGGGTTTTATGAGTCCTGTCCTGCTGAGAGGCCCCTGTCCCTTTCCCCTCTTCTCTATGGGAATCATCTACTTCTCTGACGCTCTCTTGGGACTAGGACACTTGCCTCCAATGGCTGGAGAGTTACCCTCCCCCAGCCTTCAGGTTCCTTATGACTGAGTTAAGGGAACTGGATTCCTAAGGGGACAGCTCTAAGGAAGGATGGTGCTGCTGCTGCTGCTGCTGCTGCTGCTGCTGCTGCTGCTGCTGCTGCTGCTGCTGGTGGCTGTGAGGACTATAGCACATTTTGGTGCTGGATGGCTTTGGTTAACCCCCCAGGCTCCATTAGCCGAGCACTGTCTGTCACCTCTAGGCCTAGTCAGAGCATGTAGGAGGTGATTATAAAGCCACTTGGTTTTGTTCACCTCTGCCATTTTTCTCTGCTCTGCACTGCCCTGTCCCCATGATGCTAAGGCCAGTTCCATTTCTTCTTGGGTTACTCTGACATGATGGAAGATCCAAAGTGTTGGTAAATTCAGACATCAGTTCAGAGTTGGCAGCTCACCTTGTCAGCTCTTGCCTGGCCATCACTGTGTGTGTGCACATGTGTGTCCGTGGCAGGTTTGTGTTTGTGCGGTGTGCATGGGCACATATGTACACATGTTTATGTGCATATGTGTGTGCTTAAAGG